CACCATAGCGTGGAGGAGAGCTGGATGGGCTTCACCTTCACCTTGAGGTCAGGTGGGTAAAGGTGGGTGAGGAGGAGTGGCAAATCCCGCGCGCCGACATCCTGGGTCCCGAGTGAAAGATCGCGAAAGAAAGCGACAGAACACGAGAGAAAGAAAGCAATGTTGCCAGCTGAAGGACGACAGTCGCAATGGTAATCGCGAAGACTGAAAACTCTCAGCAATATAAACAGTGATAATTTAACGTTGCAACAAAATTCTGAGCTATTCTAAGGTTTATAAAAAGCAGCATACTCATTACGCTGCAATAACTTCCCTTCTGTCGAAATCTCGAAAATTTGGTAGTTGCGCAGTTTCGTATTTCCGGGCGCGGCTTCCCGCGTCCGGAAATGTAGGGGTGTCGCGAACCGGCCGAGGTTCGAGTTCGACCAGGTTTGACTTTTTCGAACTTTTAGTGAAAAATTCGACGAACCTTGTATTGAGGTTCGACTCGTGTGCGCATGCGCGACAGGCTGGCCATCTGGCTTCGGATTAGATGGTGATGGCTAAGAGATGAAGTAAAGGCACCGCTGATTGGTTATTTCAGTTAATACAGTACAAAAAATTAAGTTATTAACCTCTTCAGTGATTAGAATTAGTTTCTTTTAATCGCAACTGTTTATAAAATAAAATAACCCTTTGTATAAAAAAAAATTCTCCAAACTTAGACATGGTTGTATTAAGGTCTGGCCACACTGTCCACAAACTCGAACCGGTCGAATCTGGTGAAAAGTTCGAAGGTTCGTCGAACCGGTTCGATCCAGTCGAACCCCGAAAGGTCGACCTAAAATTCTGGTTCGACAAAAGTTCGCGACACCCCTATACACCAACTCATGTTTACAAACAAACCGGAGCGCCCGGAGCACCCCTAGCGGACGCCACCGGCGCCGCGCATGCGCGATGGGGGTGTGGGCAAGAAGCTCGCCGTCGCCCATAAACAAACCATTGAAATGCGATGTTGTCGGCCTCGGTGTGAGCCCCCGCGCTCATTTTCGCGTTGGAATTGTTGAGTATACGTCCTCCTAACGATGTCTGACTACTTGAGCGGCGTCAGCGAAATTAACGAGGCTCGTTACACCGCAAAACTTCGCGTGAATAATCTGACATGCGGCGATTCATTCCGCGTGGACGCCGCAGTATGTACGCTAAAGCCTGATTCATATGATGAGGTTTCGCTCGTAATTTTCAGTAGCGACGTCGCTCGGACTGCAAAAGCGTGAACCGTAGCTGAGATGGTCGACGTCGATACTGAAAATCGCAAGCAGAATCTAACCAAGTGAATCAGGCATAACAAGTCGGTGACGGCCACTGGTAACAATGATCAACATCTCCTTGTATCTACTGTTTACGTCGAGCCTGCTTACCAACCTTCAAACTTAAGTCTTTTGAGGCCTGCACTTACTTCTTATCGCAAGTACCGGGCCTACGTTTGGTCTGCGGGCCGGTGTCCTCTAAAAGAGCAGACGACAAGCACTGAAACGTTTGAAAGAGCAGACGACAGTTCGAACGATCAGGCGACCGTTCGAACTTGAAGACGCACTGAGCGTAGTCCGCAGATGGTCCGTACAACTTGACGGTTTTCCGGCGTTCATTTTGGAACAAAACAAATAAATCTGATGGGCAGAAGTATCCGTGAACTCAACCCAAAATGCTTCCCGCCCAAGCAATCGTGGTCCAACGGCGTCTGGTTTTCCCTTTTCACGGCACATATCCACGTTCTTGGACGAACCGAGGGCAAGAAAACTGACCTTCAAACCTTTCTCGACCCTTTTGGTACAGCCCCAGTCGCAGCGTTTGGACAAGAAGGCAGGTTTTTGTCTGGTTCCTTTCAAAACAACGCAGGAATACAGGTCTCAGATGGGTACTTCCGCCCACAGCCCCGGACCGGAAGTGTGTCCGACGCGCCACCACCGCGCCGTTACGTAACACTCATCTCTCACGAACTCATCTCTGTTACGTCACGGCGCGGTGGTGGCGCGTCGGACACACTTCCGGTCCGGGGCTGTGGGCGGAAGTACCTATCTGAGACCTGTATTCCTGCGTTGTAAACTAAACCAGATAACCGACAGGGTTGCCAGGTTGGGCTATAAATAGCCAAATTGGGCTAGTTTTATTTTGCAGTTGGCGGGAAAAAATGGCAGTTGGCTATTTGGCTAGTATTAGGCTAATTCTGACCAGTGCCGGGCACACCAAAATGCCTCAAAGCACTTGGGTTAATAGCAGAAATCAGTGGTTTACAGGCTCAAATATGGCATTTTTAGAGTAAGTTACGTAAACATTTGGCACTTCAGTCTGTTAACCCTGATAAGTATGCGACAGCAAGCAAATTCGTCTGCTCTTTGCGCACCTTGTGCAGTTGTTTACCCTCGAATTTTGTCGGAAGGCAAGCGTGTGCTATTTTCCCTACATCTCAACCAGTGACGGCGCAATTCCTTGCGGCCCCAACATCATCTCTTCTTCGCATTCTTCAGGTTGCCTGTTGATTGGCATGCACCTATACTTCGTGTTTAACTCTGCATAGTTTTCCCGTGACGTCATTCTGGTCACCATACCCGGACACGCCCGATTCAACAGCATGCCAGAATCCCTATTTGCTGCCACATCAAGACAAAAACTTAAAAGAAGCACTACGGAATTTAGACCAGTAAACAATTTAGATGGTGGTTACTCTTTTCCCTCTGATTGTTTTTTTCTCAGGACAGTGCGTATTGTTCTGCAGTGTGATGCCGTCTTTCGATCTGTTTTTCTTGGTCCCTGCTTAACCTTGAATAAGTTATTTCGAAGGTGAATGGGCATTTTATACTGATGTTACACGTACTGAATTTGTCACCTACTGCGCCGAGTCAGGTACACAAGCTCTTGAGGCTTACACCGGCTCATCATTGCACTTTTTAAAGATGTATGTATTGGAAATAAAACTATTGTTTTCTATTCTATGCTAATTTATTTTTAATTGACTCCGTAAGTAAGACGTCATGGGTCCAAACAAACCGTTTCTAGGGTCGTTGTTATGGACAAATACATGTGGCTATATTTCGCTACGAAAACCCGACCGTTCAAAAATCAGGAGTAGGATTTAAACTTCTAAAAATCACAGATATAGAAAGCTTGAATGGCATATATGTTCCGACAGAAGTGTGCCGGTAATCGCTTGTTTCTGAAATGTTTACGACTGCAACTTCCGGTCCTCAAGATGCCTGCAGCAGACGACGAATGCAAGTAGTATGCCGTCTGCCCACACGTCCGCCGGCCAAGCCGGCGCTGGCGTCTCAATTGTGTGAATAAAGACGATATTCTGATATTGCATTTGTTTGAAATATGATGAGTTTAAGACACTTATAAGAATTCATAGTGGGGTGCGATGCAAAATATGGTTTATTGAAAGTCCGGGCTCGATTGAGATGATCGTCTGCAAAAGATCGCATTGCACCCGTGAGAAAAGCACTTCAGGCGATCGGTTGAGATCCCAAATTTTGTTTGGGGATTTGCGCTGTGGGAGGGTGCTTCGTACCTGGTTGTAATCATCGCGTGGAGAAAGATTCTTGCAGTTTTTTCAGATTTCCGCAAGACCCCAAAGCGCGAAAGAACTGGATAAAAAACATAAGGTGAGTTTATTACAGATTGTACTCGCATCGCGGGTTCGATGGAGATCTTCATGAAAAGAGCACGTCCACGAAATTTGATGTATACCAAGGGGAAAAAAATCAAAATACTGCGAAATCGCGATAGACATGCATTTTTTTAATAACCTGACTACCTCAATAATAATAAGGTATTGATGTCGCTGGCCTGTAATAAGGCGGAGCCTCCGGGGCAACAACGGGGGCGCGCGTTAACCCATCCGTCGCGCTGCGCTTTACGCCGCTTCGCGGCGACAGTCTGAGGCGGCTCATTACAAAAAATGTAAACCCACATGTGTGTGTGTATTGGCCCACACGTAAACGCCGCTTTGCGGCGCCCAATTATTCGCTAAAGTATCATTCGGTGAACCGCCCCCTCAGGAGGCTCCGCCTTATTACAGGCCAGCGACATCAACACCAATAATAATACCAAACGACTTACCTCGACGACGTACGATTTGTTTCTCATGCTGACCTGCACTACGCCGGTAATGCACTTCAGGTCGTCGTCGTAACTGATCTGCATGACGTGGTTTGATTTTACGGCATTTTCACCCCTCTGAACTAAGCTGGGTTCTTCACAGAAAAAAGCGCACATTGCGGAGGCCTCTTTGGCCATGGCGATACACTTGTTTTTGTCGCTCGTTTACCGCTGCAACAGAGGCCAGCAAATCTATCGCGTCGTCTGCTACCAAAGCAATGCGGAGTGCAATACTTCAGAAATGGCTTTCATCGTTGCAGTACGACACTGAGACGACAAGAACATCTTCATAATTAGATATCAAGAAGTTAGGTTGCTTACAAAAAAAAAAAATATATATATATATTTACCTACTTGTAAGCAAAAATCTAGCCTCATGTGGAGCCTCCATGCATTACACCATAGCAACGTCCCTAGCAACGATTTGTTTGAGCCAGACGCCATGTTGTGACGTAGTCACTTACGGGGTCAATGTTGTCTAATATTTATTGTAAAGTAACGAAGAAGGCGTTACTTTAGCGAAGTAACTGTAACAAGTTACTCTTTCAATTTTTTAACTGTAACTGTAGCAAAGTTACTTTTTTCCCTGAGTAACTGTGACTGTAACACTTACATTTTATAGGTAACGTGCCCATGACTGGGCTCTACGAGGCTCGTTCCGTCTGGACGGAACTCTGCTGGGCTTGCTATAGTTCCGTCTGGAAAGAACTCTACTGCGTCTGCTACTGTTCCGTCTGGACAGAACTCTAGACGCTCCGGTTGATTAAACATTTCGTAGTGGACGCTACTGAACGAGAAATGTGATCCTTGAAACCGCGGCTTCAAACCGAAACTAGGCCGCAAAGAGCGCCCGTGGTGTTTTATTGGTTTTATTTGTAAAACAGCGATAAATTGTAGTTTCACGCCTTGGTTTTACAGTTCTATGAGTTGCGTCTCAAAGTGGACGTTAACTTCTTTAAGGAATTAAAGTATAAAAGTATAAAGTCAGACCAATACTGAAATAGACGAAGACGAAGTTAAGTATTCAATCCAATCCAATCCGTGACTAGCGATTTCCTTGTTTTGTTGCTTTTCTGTGGTGGAAGCTCATCGACTCGCAAGCTACTGTAATTTTTTTCGAATAGACTAGATTTTTCTGTGTTTGTCGACTCCTCCAAGAATTAAGCCGAAATCTCTAAGCTTTTCGGTAAATTTCTACGTTGTGAGCACAAAGGCAAGCAAACAGCGGAACCCTGTAGCCGCGTGAGAACGGTCGAGCGTCGAGCGGTTGTGTGATCATGTCAGCAGCATCTTTACTTAGCGCACATTGACGCACATTGATCCGTTCTATGCGTGCTTTGGAGTGACATGTCAAGGTTCCCAGACCATAACGATTGGGTCAGAAGCTTTTACGTATCCAACCCAACGCTCCACAAGAAGGGATACACCGTCTACAAAGTTGTCTCAAAGGTATGAACTCGCGTTGCTTTGTCAAAGCGTTCCAGCCTTTCGGTTTGGCGGCCGAACGATTATTTTATTTTGTTTATTTCTCATTTTTAATGTCCGAGAGGTATCTAGGTTGTTATGAAACTCGGTAATTTTCCTCAATGGTGCCTTCCGTCTGTATAAACAACAGCGTCTGCAGGAAAGACGTTCTCTGACTCGGCATCCTAATTTAATGTCGCAAACTGCAAACAAGATTTTCGCAGCACAAGATCGCGTTATGAGGTTGCATGCAATTAGGCAATAAATTACGCTGCCCTTTTTTTTTCTTCTTTTTTTTTTTAGAAAGAGAGTATTTAGCGCGTTTGGGTTACACCGCCGATATTCTGAGCCACCGTTGATGCACTGTGTCATTTCTGACGTACATATATGTTGTGTTCTAGGTTTTCCCGAAAAATTCAGTGGAAGCTGCATCGCAGGTAAGCAATTCTATTGAGCGACTTGTCAACGGTGGACAGCGTGTCTCAATATTTTACACAAATCGTATTTTATCGTCTGCTCTTTTTTTCTGTTGTTGAACTAGGTGATTGTGTGGAAAAGATACAGCGACTTCAGCAAGCTCTACAAGGCTCTCCTACTGATTTACCAAGGCCTTCACCTAAAGGGAAACTTTCCGAAGTTTGCAAAAGCCCAATTTTTTGGTGAGTGAGCCCGGTGCTCATTGTTTGGTTTCCCAGTTGTGTCTGGCAGTACTGTACGAGGTGGTCGGACATCAAAATGAGATCACTGTCATGTTCCATATTTTATTGCTCTCGTGAATCTGAGTCTGTCAACTGGCAATGTAAGGAACTGTGATGTTTATCTCTTCTTAGTATGAGCATCATTATCCATGCTGTTCAGTCATGTTTGTTCTGTTCCTAATAATGACAATAGTCCTGCGACACGGTAAAATTTCACGTCGGTTCCATCTACTGACCTTAAGTGATCTGAAATCAGCTTGGTGGTTCTGACTACACACGTCGTGTATGCTCTGCACAGTGCCAGGAGTGACGCACACTGATTGGTCGATCAGACGTTAGTGGATGGAACTGATCTTAAATTTTACCTTGTGGCTGGTGTATTAGTGTCAGCGTAGCTAGTTTAATATGTAAGCCCATTTGACTTTGCAGTCAGTGGCATTAGAACGGTTCAGAAGATGAGGAAGTAGCAAAAAGAAACATTGTGGAATTTTTTTCTTCTTCTTTGGGGTGGGGGGGATTGCCCCTTTCCCTCTCTGTTCCAATGCCACTGTTTGCAGTTCTCATCAAATTGTAGGTAAGCACAATTCGTGCCATCACATGTGCTGACGGAAAAGCTAGGTTTATGTATCAAGGACTTACTGATTCGAAGCAGCTGAAGCTCCTACTATGTCCTTTGGGATTTAGTTTCAAAGCTCATGCACTGATTTCTGTCTTTATCACCTTCAATGTCTCTGCAACATGTTGCAACCATGTAATGATAACTAAAAAATGAAATGTTGGAAATGGCTTCAGTACCCCATTGATGTTTGTATGTGAGGCAATGACGAGGTGATATGTTTTCGTTTTACCTCCCTTATTACCTCAAGGTCGTTTTGAAGAGGATGTGGTCGAAGAGCGCCGTCAGTCTGCACTGCACCTCCTGGAGTTTGCTGCCAAGTACCCCGTCCTGTTCAACAGCCAAGTCTTTGTCAAGTTCTTTGAGGTGAGTCCCATCATAACCATGTTGCAAGGTTCTTTTTTTTTTAACTTTCAAGCTGTATGGTCAGAGATAAAATAGTAAGGGTGCAGGCGAGCTGGTGCATGTTAACCATGTTGAATATACCTGAGACTGGGGTAGAAAGGAACGTAAAATTCGAAGAAACAGAAAGGGACAGGACGACGTCTCAAACTCGGCTACCAGGTTTATTTAGTCCTCCTTATATAGCCCACAAACAGCCCACCACCAACACAAAGGGGCAACAAACCACCACCAACACAAAGGGGCTGTTTGTGGGCTATATAAGGAGGAGGACTAAATAAACCTGGTAGCTGAGTTTGAGACGTCGTCCTGTCCCTTTCTGTTTCTTCGACTTTTATGTTCCTTTCTACCCCAGTCTCAGGTATATTCAACATGGTTAAGCTGTATGGTGCAGGTTGCAGGCAGGTAACCTTTAATTTAATTTCTTAATCTTGCTATACACTCCGTGCGACGCGACTGGCGCGCCGCCGCGCGGCCGGTACCGAAGGTAGGCAGTGAGTACCCCAGAGAAAACGAAACCGAAACCACGCCGCGTACGTTGGTACGCATTGAAGTCGGAGTGGTGCGGTTGCGCTGAGTTCACAGCATGAAGTGCTTGCTGCCTGTGCTGCGTCATTAAGTGCTTCAATAGTTATGCATCGTATCTCGTGGAGACAAAGTTTCACAGTTTTTCACCTCGCCGATGTTTTGTGGAAAAGCGACAACGATGTAGCCGTGCCGTACGACGCGAGAAATTTGGTCTCCCGATCATGTGTGCCACTCTGTCGGCACGGCTGACATGTTCTAGCTACACTTCCGCTTTGCGCTCTGCGTTTGTTTTCGTACCAGTAACGCCTACATATGTTAGCGCCGATGGGACGAACTGAAACGCCATCCCACACTCGCGGGTATGCAGTGCCAATTTCGTTGGAGGAATGCCCTCCAAAGAAGTTTCGTCCCCATCGTCCGTGTCGATGATATTTCCGGACAACTATGGCACGCAATCTGTACTTCATGAAGAAAAATTCAAACGGTAAAAAAAGTGACAAATATAAATCTAAAGAAAACAACAATGAAACTCGGAATCACTGGAGATACAACGTTTGAGTATGGAAGTTAATGTGGTGTGCTTTCTTTCTTGATCAGCCTCCTTTTGGATGTGGAAACGCTGACACCCCGAGTTCTGTAGACAACAATTTTGTTTTTCTCGGCTTTAGAGCCACCTATTGCAAAGTGGTTCGAACTGGAATTACCGTCCACTGGTCCCTTCCTACCTGTAATGTGTGCACCTCCTACGATGAGTGGTATTATCTGACAGCCTTTGACGGTCAAAGCCAGTTCCCATTTAGTTACGCCGCCCAAACTAAATTTCCACCTGGTTTCGCTATGCCAACTCTTTTTGTTATAATAAGTGTTGTGCCAAGTGACGGTCATGTCAAAATACCTGTGCGCCGAAAATCAGGACCTCGCACAACAGGTTATTACACAACAGCAGACCGCAAAAGCCCTTGGCGGCCAAACCGTGTTTTGGTCGACAACTTTGTTTTCTCGGCTTTGGAACCACCTTTCGTAAAGTTGTTTCAATTGGAAGTACAGTCCACCCTAGTCCCTTCCTACCTCTAAAGTCTCCACCTCCCCCGACCAGTGATATTCTCTTGACAGCCTTTTCATTGCCAAAACCGGTTCCCATTGAGTTACACCGCCCAAACCATTTCACCTGGTTTCCCTATGCCACCTTTTTTTTTTTTTTTTATAATAAGTGCTGTATCATGTTACTGTCAAGACCAAGCACCTGTGTGCCCAAATCTGCGCTTTACACAGCCCGCTATAACACAACATTTTGGGTCGAATAATGGATATCCCGTACAGCTTTGTTTCTTTATTCATTAGAAACTTAACTCTCACACCTGCTGTCTTAAAGAAACTTGGCACTCTTCCTGCACAAACTTAGTGAACATCCCACTCGCCTCCAAATATCATCGTTCCAGCAGTTCTAGGTTTACAGCGACGAGCGAAATAAATTTCCCACCCAGAGCAATCAAGGTGGCGGCCGTCTTGTTTTTCGGAATTCGGCCGCAACTAGAGAAATTACCCCTAATAACGACTCAAACTCAATATATAAGAAGTGGAGAACAGCTAGATGCCCTTCTTAGGTCTACCCCAGTACTCATGCAACGTCACCCTCAACTTATCGGCTCAAAAAGCAAAAGTTTCGCCCGTGCGCGCTTCCGCCGCCACAGCTTGGCATGCGAAAAGTCGCCGCAGGCTGCTGAACGCGCCTCACAGTCGAACGCCAGCTCCTCCGCTAGCGGCGCTGCGCGCGTTTTTCAAAGCGCCCCCTATAGTTCCCGCACGGAGTGTATATGGGTGGTTTCATTTGAAATCGAACAGCCTTGTCGGTGTGGGTCTTTTGATTTAAAAAATATATATATATATGTGATTTCCCCTTTTCTGCTAAAAACAAAACCGCTTTCCAAATAAAAAAAAAAATTTTGCTTCACAAAAAAATAATAGGTGGAGCCAGGGTGAAAGTATGTTTTTTACTCCGGGATTTTTGTACCCAGTTCTGTACACTGGTATGAATACAGAAAGCATACAAAACTCACAGTTATTTTTTGTGCACTTATATCTTATTTCAACCATTTTTTTAGTTCAAAGAAATGTACTTTTGTATTTTTGTTTATTGTGGTAAAAAATGCCAAACATTGTCTCTTTGACAATCCGGTGGCATCTTCAGAGCCTTGTAATTCATGAGTTATTATATTTGTCGCTTACCAAATACTATGCGGGTGTAGCCCTACACATGGGCTATCGATGGGCATAAGTTTAGTTTATTTCATTTTCACGGAATTTTTTTATATAAAATTTGAGATATTGTCGAAACTGAGATTAACCTATATTTTGAACCCACTTTATCGAAAAAGGCCATTTTTTATTTTGTTTAATTTTTTATTATTGCTGTTGATCATATGAACTTTCAATTGGCTTGATGCAATTTCCCCCTTTTTTTTGTTGTATCTTTTCTAGAAGTGATTGAAATCGCTCCCACTTTCTCGTAACGGCCAAACGCAGTTTCCGCAGGTCGGCTTCACTGCAAAAACTATACTGCTTATTTTTGTGTTAAAAGGCAGCGGGTAAATTTATTTTGATTGAAAACACTTTTCTTAATTTTGTAATGATGGCAACTGACGTGCCTTAGTCCGATCATTAGCTGACTAAGGAACGTCCGCTAGCGATTAACTAAAAGAAAATAATAATACCAAGTCTGACTGAAAAACTTGCGTAAAGTCTGACTGAAAAACATGCATAAATGGATTGTAAATCCATTTATGCATAGCAAATGTTAGGACCTGTGTATTAGTTTTGGTGGGCAGGCAGTTATGGTAGCTAAATCTTAGGAATTCAACATTTGAGACAGAGTGTGGGGATATAATCCTAATGGTGGTGCGTCTTCATAATGCTGTCTTGTGATTGGCCATGTTGTGTGCGAAGAGGCTCAAGGCTTATTTTAAATTGCATTGTGTTTCTGTTTTCCCTGAAACTCGTATTCTAGAAAATTAGCAGTTTGCTCCGTTTTTCCACGTGCTGAGTACCTTGTAAGCATACCTCAGTTACAAAAGAATGTGCATATGTCAACTGGTTTGGAGGTCAAAAGTGAGGGTAACCTTAACTGGGGTAACTGCGCTATTGATTTGACAAAATATTCAATATAAATGTCTCAATGGTAATGGATATACAATAGTCTTTTTCTAAGAAGACAATAATTAAAAAAAAAAAGAGACAGAACACTAGAAACAAAGAAGCAATTCCTGCAAAATAATGTTATCGACTGTGGCAGATGTTGGGTAGTAAGCGTAAAGTTACCATTAGCAAATTACGGTAGTTACCTAACTTCCACTAATCAACTTTCAAGATAATAATCTTACTTGGCACATTCCAATTAGAGATGTGTTAAGAAGCACGGAATTCACACTAAAAATGAACCATCTGGAACTATATTTAAAGACATCTTAAAGGGGCACTGACAGAATGTTTATGCACGCCAATGTTTTTATTTTTACATGACATATGAGAGCCCAACTAAACAGAACACGATTTGCGGCTCGAAATTTGTTTTCTTTCCGCCTGAAAGCAACCAATCGAGAACTCGCCGGTTTGAGTCGCGCTCACTCTCTTCTCCGTGGTCATGTGCTATTCTTTATGGTTTAGACACACACACTGAGTATAATCAAAGTTGCAGGCTGTCGAAGGCACATACTCAATATCAAAAATGGAAGAAACTGTGGTACCCATTTTTGTGGCTTCTAAAAAACAAAAAATATGTGGGAAAAAAAAAAAAAAAAAAAAGGTTGCACAGAAAAGCAGAAGCACCCTGTGCATTTTCTGCGTAATTCTCAACATGGGGTCGTATCGCGGGAGTCGTGGGCTGGACGGCTGAACGAAGCGGACTAAGCAATGGCGTTGGACGACAGGCATGGGACCTCTACTTCAGAACTGTTGTTTGTGTTACTGGCAAATCGGTCTAGCCTTGAAAGAGAAATTGTTTACCGATCAAAATAATTAGGATTTATTCCGTATGACACGCCCGACCGCAAAGCTGATTCACATGAAGACATCGCCAAGTCGCCGATCCTTCTCCTGGCTTAAGACATCTCTCGTCTTATGAATACAAATAGGTAAGAGCTTGAAAAACGTGCAAATGTCGAAAAAACCCAAGACAAGCATTTCATGCTTGTCTTGGGTTTTTCGCGCGACATAGGACGTGCACGTTTTTCTTCTACTTCGCACAACCAGAACATTGAAGGAAAAAAAAAAAAAAAGAAAACGCAGTTGGGTGTAGCTATTGACTTCCAGCAACTCTCTCCTCCTCTACATTTCTTCTTCCTCCCTTGTTCAGTTTTGGTTTTGAGCAGTTGCATTTTTTTTACTTTATTAAAAATATATGTGACGCTGTTGCAAAATATTAATTAGGTAATCTTCTGAGACCATATTAAATCGCTTGACAAAAAATAAAAAACATTTTTAGTGGGGGGGCGGGGGGTATTAGTGTCCCTTTAACTAACACCAAGGTGCAAACTATATGTACCACTTCTCTGAGAGAAGTTGCTAGTTACTCCGCAGACAAACAGCATGGAGAGTCATTTCAAATTTGCCTTGATCTTTTTTCTCCTGCCTGACAGAGCCTAAGGAGCACTAAATTTATTATTAGAATTCTTTCAGGGTTTGTATCAGTCTCAAAATCACTGCCAGTTGAGTCATTAATTGATAAATATGTGATTGTCTTCTCAGCGGAGCGAGGAGGTGAACGATGAGCCTGAACAAGAGATGTCTGGCCTGGACCCTCCACTGCTGGCACCTCCGGCAAAGTCACCCTCCAAGTTCAATGGCGTTCCTGCAGAAGCCTAGTGAGCTTTACAGTTTTTCTTCACCAGTGCACGCTTTGTCTAATTGAGAATATTTATTTTTTCTAGTGTTCTTCACTTGCCTTTTACATTGATTCCATGCTAGACTCCATTATTTGCAGTACAGTATGCAGTAGCAGATTTTGTTCTTACCTTTTTATCCAAACGACCTTTCCATAGCTTACCTACGCCTTGCCCATGTCTAGAAAGAATTCAGCCCCTCCCTGACAAAGTGCCTTACGTCGACTCTAATGGTGAATTCCACTGGTAGATCCGGAGCACTTTTCAAAATCTACGAGGGAGACGAAATTCCGCTCCATGGGACCCGCTCCAAATCGACGAGCAGAAGATGGACTCACATTTTTGGAGCGACCTGGAGACTCAGCCGTTCAAAATGGCCACGGCTTGAAATTGACAACCCGACTAACGCCTCAGCCGACTGCGCATTCCAACAACCAGTCGTAACTGCCACTGTTTAGCTGCAGAAATAGCACGCTACACAAGCCGGGCAAAAATATTCATACTTAGGAGCCCATGCCACAAATAGCGAGGAAGACATCCGCGTCCGCCACTGTCAAGGGGGGCTGTCGGTTGCTGCTGTTGCGGTTGTTTTCGTGCACCAAAAGCTTTTTGAAACAAAAAGCGGCACAGCTCTACCGCAACGCCGGCTCGGTGACTCGATAGCTCCATGCCCTCGGTAGGGTTGCAAAATTTGGTCGGAAATGTAGGTCGAAATTCTTTGGTCACAATTATAGGTCGACACTTACTTTTTGACGACATTTCCGGAAAAAAAAAGGTTGACTTGTGTTTGAATAAATACGGTGACTCACCTCCTCTTTAGACTCCCCCCTTCCTCTTCCCCACAGGAGTAGAGTACGCAGGGGTGGAACGGCTGCGCCATTTGCGCCATTTTGCACCAGACACATTTGTCTGCGCCATCCTGCACCATGTTATTGAAACAGCGCCGCAGCCAGTACCTCGCACCTTTATGTACCAAATCGCTAAACGTGCGCAAAAAAGATTTATTCTATCTTGGTTTTGGTTTCTGTCAACTCGACTGGCAACAATGAGCGCGTTTAGCTTAGTTGACCCTGCAATCCTTTGTTCTGTTTATTCTTCCTGTGTATCCCGAGTTGGAAGCGCGTGAAAAAACTCGGGGTTGTGATTCCAAGCGCCACACCACCTGCGACTGGATTGTTATTCTTCAACCGTCAGCAGTTAAGAAAGTCGAGTTGTTAAGCGTCCAATTGCTTAAGGCTCTGCAGCAAGGGATCCGGACGTCAGCCAGTTGTAAACAAATGAGTTAACGATTCCTTTTGGTACTTCATCGCTAGAAGTTGGAACCGCATTCCCGCAAGATAAATTGTGATTTGATAGAACTGAAACGCGGTCCGATTCAAAACCTTGCCGGCCAACAGCTCTCACGCGAGTGGCAGATCTGCTCGGCGTACTTTAACCTTGCTCCTGCTTATCGCTTTCAATATGATAACTCCGTTAATCGGAGTCTGCTGCTTCATTCAATATTGAGTTGCATAATAGTATAGACTCAAAATGTGTTGCCCTGTTCCTCCGCGCAACTGCTCGTCCGTTTCTTTCGCACATCACGTGGTTCGCACATATAATTACTATGTCGGGCACGTGTGGGTTATGCGATAAGCAGTACTGGTTTGCATTTTGAGCAGCTGAAAGCCACTCAGAAATTATCAAGGACACTATCTTCAGAAATATAACATACTTTCTTTTTGGTTCTCATTAAGGCTTACAAAGGTTCAAGTTTTCGCACCTGTTCAACTGTTATACCATCTACCTAGGTCCCTAACCACTCATGTTCATATGTGCTGCTAAGCACAATTGAAATTGCTCCTGTGCTTGTCTAAGACACAAGCTGAAGTGCAATGAAAACTGATCTGAGCTGCTCCTAGCCTGCTCCAGAATGTAGTTTTAGCTGCTCCCAACCTGCTCCAAAACAGCTGTTTCAGCTGCTCCCGTGGCTGCTCCCAATTACATATCATGAGTTCCACCCCTGAATACGGTAGGCGCGGAAGAGAAGGAAATTCCGGTTAGGCTAAGTTCGACAGGGAACGTGCTCATGCAGCTTGTTGCCATACTTTCGCGGAGTGTTGCTGCTTTTGTGGGGAGGGGGTCAGAACAACATTCCAATTAGCTTTGGGAACATCCACCAGGTGCAATCTGGTAATTGATTTATTTATTTTAAATAATGATTGTTTGGTGTCTTTTGAAACAAAATAAGAAGTCCGAGGACACCTAAGCACTTCTCATGAGTTGGGAATGCGAAAGCATGCCACCTGCGACGTATTGCTTCCGCCTCGCATTGTTCAAGGGCCTCATCCTTTTGCCGCATGAGACGTTTTGAATCATGATCCGCTTGAGCCTCACGCTTTCGAAAGGCCTTGTTTTGTCTCCTAGCGCGTTGCGCTGCTGCTCGTTCCGCCCGCCGTGTATCAGAGATTTGACAACAAGGGTGGATTTCGCTGCCTGCCTCCTCGCTTGTTGATCTGCATTATTCCACTCCCTTAGTTTGTCTGTGGTGTACTTGCGTGGACGGGCAGGTTTTGCTACTGCCGAAATTGCGGCCGCTGCTGATGTAGATGCTTGAGGCACCGCCATTTTCGTCGGTGTTCAGAGGAGCAGAAGTGGCCAAGCGTGCGCCACCGTGTTCCTTCTATTGGCGCAGGGCCCACAGTGCCATGAGGTGGCGTTCTTTGAAACTATGACGCGTGCTAGCCAACGGGAGCCTCGTTCCTTGAAATTATGATGTGCGCCTGCCAATGGGAGCCTATCCATTAAATCCCTGCTACAGACGACAGGCTTTGCTCCATTGGGACAGGGAAACTTAGGTGCCATTTGACACGGCTTCAAAAGCTGATAACACCGGTTCACTCCTTGGGACAGTTAATGTTTTCGCATTAAATTGGTGTCTCTGTGGTGTGGCCAGAACGTGGTTGACATTCAGACGATAAAATAGGTGCTAAAATTTCATTCCAGTATCCCTTTAATATATTAATTCAATAATAATGTGCTATCCAACCAAAGTTAATTATAATTTGTGACAAACATGTTTTCTTCTTTCTGACTGTTTTCTTTCGATTATCACCCCAGCACCAAGTTGCCAGAGGTGTCCTCAATGGGAGCAGGGGACTCGCTGTCGGAACGTCCCGTCTCCCACCGGATCATGGCGTTGGACCAGCTGAGTCTGGATTCTCGGACTACGGAGGAAGAAACGGACGCGTCTGTTAGGTCCACGACGACGGAGGGAGAGGACGATAACGTTTGCAACGCCATGCGGCCACCAAGAGGCTTCTTTTTTTCGGACCTTGCCATGTTTGATCCAATTCTGCAGGTAGTAGCCAATGCTACATGGTGTACACATCTTCTTTGTAAAGCTTTCTTATTTTCTATATACTTTAGTGGAGACATGCTGCACTTGAAAGCTCCAAGAGAGTACCGTATTTACTCAATTTCAACGCACCCTCGATTCTGAGGTGCACTGAGTTTTTATACCAGAAATAAGGTTTCTAACATGCTTCTGATTTAAGTTGCTTATTCGATGTGCAGACAGTTATAGTTTTCTAAAATAATGCATAGCAAATTTATATGTAATTGTGTTGCATGTGAAACGTGGGGCACCTACGTTCTCGGTACTCTTCATCCGTTAATTTAGCAACTGGCTTTTTTTTTTTTTTTTTTTGCACAGTGGCACTGAGCACGACCGAGTGTATTCGAAATACGACACACACGGATTAAATCGCCGTAAAGTCTCGTACAAACGCCCGCCCCCCAAAAATCGCACATGCCGTTTTTTTTTTTTGTTTTTTTTTATTTTATTTATTGCGTGATTTGCGATATTGGTACGCGACGAGCGTGCTCGCCGCGGGTTCTCTCGTGCTTATCGCACCGTGGCACGCGAATCTGCAGCATCTGTACTATGCGGGGCATTCCTTCTATGACATGCAAATTCCAAACTCGTTCCCACATTTTCTTTTTTTTTGTCGGTGATCTTTGCGCGCGATGTTGGTTCCTGTGACACCCGAGTTTGAGGGGGCCGGGTTCTTGCGTCAATATCGCACTGTGAAGCGCAAATGCGCTGCTTCCGCGTTCTGCTGCCGTACCCGTGACAGGAGAGCGAATTCCCACATACTTTTCGCACACGCGAGTTCGCCGTGTCTGCGATATATATCAGTAATGAAAAGGCAGTGAGTGCGCAGGCGAGCTGGTGATAGTTAATCATTATGTTTAAAACCCGAGACTGTGGTGAGGGAAAAGTTAAGAAACTTTGAAGTTGAAGAGTTTCCGTTTCACATAGCTTGTAGTGCCCCCCCCCCCCCCCCTTCGACACACGCGCACGCATGCACACAAACACACACACACACACCACAATTTACTTTTCATTTTGGGTGAGCATTCTTTCAGGACCTTATGTTATATGTATAAATGTACATAAGAGCTTGCTGGCATTTGTTTACCTATCATCTAATTTCTGAGGAAAGCAATAACTACTCTATAAAAAATAAACATTTGGCATAGTATATATCTATTTTTGCATGTTTGGGGTGCTTTTGCTGAGACCGCTTCCGCGTTCCTCATTCGTGTCGTAAACGTTACATATAAAAGCGATAATTGGTTGCCTCAATCGTCTGTAGAGTTTCTTGTAAACGACGTACGTGGCGAATACACCTGCTGGCACCCAAACAGCAAGCCGGCGGGAGGACGAGGAGAACAGTGCATGGAATGTCCTGCTGAGCGAAGCAAATTCTAAACCGTTGTGCTAGAACGCATCCAAGCAATGGGGAGAGCAAGTCGTCTGCTTCTTGCACGGGAGATGCGCTGACTTCAGAACGACGCCGAGCTCCGATTGGTTTTGATTGAAATGATAGTGGGTAGACCTCAATGCTCGGTGCTTTGAGATATACCCACTATTTTTTTAATCAGCCAATAAGAGCTCGGCATTTTGACGTCACGCGACCCTTGTGCAAGAAGCAGACGAACTTGCGCTCCGCGAAAATCTTCCGTTTCGTGGTCTTACTTGCTAGTTTTGTCAGTCAATTTCTTTTTTTTTATTAAACTCCTAATCAAGCTTTTTTGTTTCTATTTAGTCAGTGATGCCTCTTTTAGTAAAGGTTAATTAAGTGCATATGTATGAGCAGAAATGGTATAGGTGGTATCATAAAGTTTTCAATATTTTGCATTTGTACTTTTATCAGATAGAGTAGATTTGAACTCTGTTGAGTATTGGAATACGTTTGTTTGCTAAACAGGGTCTTGAAACATTTGTATTTCCTAATGACAAACTGTGGTTAGTATTGGACTTTATTTCATACCATACTGTTGCAGCTTGAAATGGTTTTGTTTTTAACTTATGGAACGTCTGGTTTAAGTTGTTTTTCTTTAGTTGCCTGTGCCTACCATTGTAAATCCATGAGAGGAACCAACCCGCTACCACCAGGACAGTTCTCAATGGCAGCCATTCAAATATCTTTTTTACTATTGGCTGGAATATATTTAAGGAAAGGTCATGTTTGGAAATGGTTCTGGAACGTCACATGGAGATGCTTTTTTATTCATATTTCTTTTCGTATATCGGAAAACACATCTGTGCTTATAGCACCAAGCAGCTCCAAGATTTGCATATACTGCTACGAAACTCGATTTTTGTTGCTCCTGAGCTGCTCCCAAGCTGAACTTTTACTGCCCCAAAGCTGCTCCAAAGGGGCACCTTTGCTGCTCCCAGACCTGCTCCAAAAGGCTGAAGCTTGCTTCCACCCCTGTGCACTGCTGAGAAGCAACGCTCACAAAAGCAAGCTCTGCAGGTATCGCCTCTCTGCAGTGCGCTGGTGCTCGTAAAGAAGCACACTCAGTGGGACCACAAGAACAAAAAGTATGAATTACACGAAAACACCGCTCGAATTAAGTGGCTTATGGATACATTCAAAACATAGCGGGACAACCAAAATTTTGAAGTTTGTTTGAATTAACCAGAAGTATGAAATATTCGAGTTTGAATTATCGCGAGCCTACTGTACCTATTGTGTAAAACCCGAGACTGTGGTGAGGGACAAAATAAGAAACTTCCAAGTAGAAGAAAAGACGACAGGCAAGGGGAACGTCTCCCTGCCTGTTGTCTCGTTCTTCGAGTCGAAATTTTCTTCTTTTTTTCTTTATCAAAGTTTCGGATTTCACACAATGGGGTTCTTTTTATTCTTCATTTAAGCAGCTTATACGGATATTACCGTTTTCGAAAGAGGTTGGAGAAGGTTCCGTGCTCCGGGTATGCTCAACAGTTCCGAACGAAACAATGCCGACACGGCAAACGTGTTGTGGACTCCTCAGTCGCAGGGGAGTGAGAAAGATGACTGCCCGTCCCTGAGCAATGCCTGGATCCTGTCGGCCGCCGGAGTGTGCGCTAACCTCGCTGAGGAAGCCTGCTCTCCTCCGGGCTGTGCCTTCAGCTTCCCGAAGCCCTTTCAGGACCTGAGTCCCAACGACGACGACGACGAGTGGCTGCGGCTGCAGGAAGGTGAGGCAACGAGAGTCGGGCCTCTCCTCCCGGTCCGGGGGTTCTCTAACACTTAACTCTTAAGGAATGCCAATTTCTCTCGACTGACAACTGAAGAACCTCTACAGATCTTGGTATTGCTGCCAATGAAGTAGAGGAGAAGTCTACAGACCTTGTGAACAGTAATCCACACAGTAGGCAGTGATAAGTAGTGCCAGAGTCCTTCTATAAGCCACTGATCATGAAACTTTGGCCAAAGTTCGGTACAGGGTTGGAAATATCTGCCAGGTGCACCACTGTCCTGGAGAGGGCGTTTTTGTTTGGCCACTTCACCCTGAGTGAGCCACCCCATATTTGCAATTATGAGTACCGTAATGTCCTGAGTCATCGCCCACCCTCCTGCCGCCTGAAATTCATAAAAAAATGTGAGGTGGGCTATGTCTCGGTGGGTAAGCACAAAACGTTTAAAAGAAGCTAAAAAAGAACAATGTTCTTTTCTTATGTATGTATCTTGTGTGGCTGCACAGGAGGTACAATAAACTAAAAACTTGAATTAGTTGCATGGTTTTATACGAGAAATGCTGATAAAAGAATGTTTTACTATTGGGAAGTCTGGCTTGCATACACGCGATGAACAGCAATGAACACGACCGATCAGTATACGGCGTGAACGCTTGTTCCGTGAGAGCACATTTCTAAACTGCTATGTTCTCTTCATTAGGCTCCCTAGCCATTGCTGATCTTAGATTAAAAAATAAATTGCGTAAAAAAAATGTGTCAACAAGAAAATACAAAAACCAACCAGGCACAACGAGCGAGCGCGTGGGCGAAAGAAGCGACAAAGAGCGAAGCTGGGAAGTGAGGAAGTTGGCGATCGTGTTGGCAAATATTGGGTGCCTTGCCAATTGCAAGGAGCAGGGTCTTGTGCAACTTTCTTGTTTGGTGCATATGTGTGTGTGTGTCCGTGCGCGGCATGCTATCAATGCGCATTGACACGGCGTTGCTGCGTGGCCTGTGGCCGGGATGGCATTACGAAAACAGAGCTCGAAATCGGAAGCTTTACAAACGTCTGTGTGCAGCATTTCAGTAAATCTTTATCTAGCCATTGACTTTGTCTGAAACATTGCACAGCCTTACCAACCGCGGTCGCAACGTTCTGGGAGAAGGAGAGGGTTCGCGGTGGACCTTATTTCAATGAAGACTGACTTTGACCTTACACTCCACGACTTTGGGGACTGTTGCAACCGACTACGACCGAGTCCGACAGAACAGGGTTTGAAAGGAGGATATAGCCTCAGAATTCAAATTTTTCAGAAAAAAATCTTTATTTCAATAAAATTGTAGAGCCCTTCCACTTCACGTGAAGGAGGACCAGCGAAGCTGTTACCTGTACGACATCTAGGACGACCTCGAGGACGACGCCTAGAGGACAACGTCTAGGACGACTTCAAGGATGACATCTAGGACGACCTTAAGGACGAGGTCTAGCACAAACTCAAGGACGACTTCTAGGATGACCTCGAGGTATCTACACAAAGAAGAAATCCGCCACCTTCCTCCGTGGATCGCGCATCGCGTGAAATATACGTCATCCCTTTTTGATGCCTCGCGGCGCCGTCCTCCTCCGTGGCGGAGACGCGGAGGGCTCCTTCTGTCAGCACGAAAGCTCCGCAGGTGGGCGGCGGAGTAGTTCGCATTTTGCTGCTTTTAGCGATACTCTTTTGCCTCGTATGGCCACGGGGGCCTCCGCGTTCTTTTCACACTTTTTGGAATCGCCTGTGCCATTACTGTCATAGTAGTGCTGTGGTAGTAGTCCCACATGAAATGGCAAAGTTGAATAACGACGCCATATATTTTTTTTATTTCTCTCATTGAGGAGTTTCCTGCGCTCTAGGACATAAGCAGCAAACTATTTGAAAACAAACCTCAAGGCGTCAATATGGGAGAAGATTGCCGAAGAAGTGTTACTGCGGTTCCCGCAATTTGCGCCGTACACAGTGGGTGAGTGACGTCTTTGTTCAGTGCACATATGGGCCCTGCGGCTGCTGACATGTACAACACTATCACAACCTCACAGGACGCTTGAATGTAGTCAAATTTGTTGTTTGTATGTTTAGACTGTGGGAAGTGTATCTGCCAGCTTCAAGGGGGAGCAATTTGACCAGTGCAGTAAGCTCTTTTGATGTGCACCACGCCGTAGAGATTTCACAACCACAGGCTGTTATGATGCTCATCCAAATCGAAACAGGCGGGGGTGGAAATCGAGTTCCGGCACTTGACGAGAGCGTGTGTGCAGATCTATCATCGGCTGTGGCTTAGGTATGCCTGCGGTTCTGCAGCTCGAGTTTTTGATCCAGGTGCTCCCACCGGTAGCGAACGAACCTGAGCAAGCATGTTTCCCTGAGGTTGCATATTAACTATAAGGTTATCCATTTAATCAAATTGTTAGTGTCACAGCTTGTGCATATATAGTGTGGCCTGTGTTCTCCCAGCTCTGACAACTGTTTTATTATTTTTACTGTTCACGTCGTGAACAGATATTCTGAAAGGCTTTCTTCAGAATGAAAGAAGAGCCTACAGGGATGGAACAATGAAGATTTTAAAGACAAAAAGTGGCCAAGAAGCTGAAGAAGTGTTCAGCGGGAAATGGAAGTTTTTTTCTGCCTTGCGCTTCCTGGATGGAGCGACAACCTGAGCAGGGACAGGGATCTTCAGCGTTGACTTTGCGGAAGTAGGTACCCCTGGGCAAGGTAAGTGCGCTATGTTTTGTTGTGCGTTCAAAATTTTCTAATCATGCATGACTGTGGTAGCGCGTAAACGAGAGCAAGGAAGATTTCACATAATAAAACCAGAGCTGAAGGTTCAAATGAATAAGCACGAAACATCTTGACTGTAGTGATTACAGTCAACCAATTATTTTTAGACATTTACATTTTTTTTACCTTTTTCTCGGGTTTGGAGTGTCAAACAGTAACCAACTTCCAGCCTTATTGCAACGTCCTCAAGTGGGAAGGAATGCTTTTTCTTTGCTGCCTTATACATTTGTCATAATACCTGTACGCTTTACTGTACCATGGAGGTACCAGAAAGAAGAAAACCATGAAGGAGGTATTGTCAGAACAGTTGGGACTTTGCACCTGTATCGAAGTATCTTTTATATGGCAGGCTTCACAGGTCCCCCACGGCCATTGCTGAAGACACAGCTGCATTTATGACACAATCATGTGCAGGTTTCTAGCGACTCTGTTGGCATGCGGCTGTGGGATTCGGACGAGAGGAGCCCGGAATGTGTGCTCTGGACAGAGCCCTGCACCGAGCCCTGGAGCCGCCCCGGGCAAGCCCCTCCCTGGCTGAGAGAGAATGAGCTTCGGATCCTTCAAAAAAAATGAAGATGGGGCAGAACTGTCCCTTATGGAACAAAGGACGGAAGCGCTTGCAAAGCTGACAGAGCGCATGGAGGCACCAACACTAGATGACAGTGCTGCGTTTGGCACGGCGGTGGCCGTGCCAAGGCGAGGGCGAGATGCCAGATAGCGGTTCTGTTGGCAGTCACTGTACACCTGGAATAAACACGTCTCACAGCATGCCTCTGCATTTTATTTTAATGCAAGCAATTATTGTGAACTAATACCTATTGCATGACATAACCAAATCTTTGCGTTGAAATGTAAGTTATTGTAGATATTACCAGAGAGCTTGCAGTAAGTTGCAAGCTGCTGGACCCCCCCTCTGCCTAGGGTCGATTTTTGGTACTGCTCATGTTTCACTTTGATATATATTCCCCTGAAACAAACACAAGTTTGGTATGTATGCAAACTTCAATGAACAAATCGCTTCAGCTTTTTTTTCTGCTCCGTGCTAGCACACATAAAAGCCTCAGTTTGAAAAATACTTCCGTGTTTTTGAGCAAAAATGTAGCATGTACAACAAAGAAGGAACAATTATGTGGAACTGCAGTCCCTTGTAGAGCTGTACAAGGCAACCTTAAACAGGATGGGGAGACACTACCCCGAAAAAAAAATTTCTGCAAAAAAGTGATTTTGAAAAATGCCCCATTTACATCTACCAACATATAGAGAATACTATTCCCAGAAAGTTTCATATGTTTACAGTGCATAGTTATTTTTTTATAAATTATTTTCAGTCCACCAATGCTAAAGAAAAGTTAGAGGTTTGAGAACTTTGAACGTGTTTTCCTGGAATCTACATTTTGGCATAAATCCCACCTTAATTAAACTATTGTTTCAGTATAAACTGCCGAGAGACTTAATATCTTCGGCTTATGTGCCAAAATTTTATGGAGCCGGTTACTACGAATTTAGATTTTCGCATTTTTATGTTCCTTTATTATGTTTTACCTGGAAAATGCATATTTTCTCAAATTTCTTTTCATAGTAACTGGCAAAAGGTATTCCAGTATGAATTCCACAAGAAAAATTTGTGGTTATCAACACCATTTCTCAACTATAGATCCATTCAGCAGATTCCATCCAAAGCTATGCTTTACTTCGTTCTGGGGGTATAAAATTGGTTCACAGGGCTGAAACTTTGCATGCCCTCCTTCTATATGGCTACAAACGCCCCACCTGCAGATTTCACACCAATTCAGTGAGCGGTTCGAAGTTGACATTCCCAGGTAGTGTCCCCCTTTATGCCTGGAGGCACCAACACTGTCGCCTTCTTCCTGAGGTGGCTAATGTCAATGCCAGCTTCTTTGTTCTGCGAAGACACGGCACCTTGTCCACTGAAATGGTTGCACAGCCTTTCTCGCACCGCTGCAGCAAGTGCTCTGGGGAGAGCTTTTGACGGCTTCAGGCTGAAGAAAGTTGGCTTCTTTCCAGGTGCTTTGCTTGTCCCGAGTTGTTCCACTTGGTCTGGATGTCCCTCCAGGAAATTGTGCAGAACACATGGTGCCTGTACCATCAAACGCACCCTCTCTGGTCTTGCACAGTGGTTAAGAGAAACCGAAATCTGTGGGCCAGAAGAGTGAATGCATTTTCGGTCATGCGACGTGCTCGGGA